AATATAATATATAGGTAAGTATTATGTGTCGACTGATTTCCTAAGTTTCGTAGAAACTTACTCAGAACCCACGAAAGAACCCGAAACGAATGAACCCTGAGATTTAAAACATTTACAATTACAAAATAAAAATTAAATAGTAAAACATCGGATTGGGGTGGCAAAGTAAAAGTCAAATAATTACAACAAAAAAGTTAGTGGCCCCAATTCAAATATATCAAAACAATATATATATATATATATATATATATATATATATATATATATATATATATATATATACGCAAGAAAGAAGTCTTTGCTGACTCGTTAGGAAATGAACTTGAGTTATTGGGTTTGCAGCAAAACGAAATGTGTACTCTTATAAGTTTATTCCAAGCTTTCGAATGTGAATACATTCATCTTCAGGGATCTAGAATATTTATTACAGGAAAATTAAAATTGAATAATGAACAATTAATGTTTACTTACTACTTAGTGAGATTGGTTCGTGAAAAAAATGTTGTTGATAAAATTAATGATGTGATTGAAACTGTACTAGATAAACATTGACATGAACATTTTAGACGATGCATTGAAAATTTTTAAAACATTTTAAAATTATATACACTTTTTGCAACTAACTAGTTTAGTCGAAAATTAATAAAAATTTTTTGAGGTTACAATTGACCATGTGCTCTTTTCAAGTTCATGGCGCATGCGTCTGTCATTAAGTCAATTTGCCAAAAAAGAAGAAGAATTTACTTTAACTGTGTAAGACTAATGAGGTCCTACAGCCAATTATTTCAAAACAGAAGGGGGTTGCATAAAGCTAATGAGACTTTATTACCAAACTACCCTTTCTTAATGGGAGGCGCACGTGTCATATACAATAGAACTGAACGACGGGTTGCTAAAAATTTAATTTTATAACTATTGATTTATGAATAAAATTATATGAAACATAGTTAAAGATTTTGTTAATGTCGACAAACATGTCTGTTTCCTGAATCCCTTATTGGTAAGTTCAATGAGTGGTCGGTTAATGGGGCCTACCACGTATTGAGACTTGTAGAGGGGGCAGTGGGGGGTTAATGAGACTCCCCATCTACAACCTCTGATTAGGAAAGAGACATACTTATCGTGCATTATGGTGGTTAGGTTGAATGTTATTGCAAATTAAATGTTATCAAATACGTTGAAGACTAATTTTGAAATTTGATAAACAGTTTTTCAGAAAAGCAAGCTTTCATAAGTTTTTTGATTAAAAAAATTTTTAATCAAAAAACTTATGAAAGCTTGCTTTTCTGAAAAACTGTTTATCAAATTTCAAAATTAGTCTTCAACGTATTTGATAACATTTAATTTGCAATAACATTCAACCTAACCACCATAATGCACGATAAGTATGTCTCTTTCCTAATCAGAGGTTGTAGATGGGGAGTCTCATTAACCCCCCACTGCCCCCTCTACAAGTCTCAATACGTGGTAGGCCCCATTAACCGACCACTCATTGAACTTACCAATAAGGGATTCAGGAAACAGACATGTTTGTCGACATTAACAAAATCTTTAACTATGTTTCATATAATTTTATTCATAAATCAATAGTTATAAAATTAAATTTTTAGCAACCCGTCGTTCAGTTCTATTGTATATGACACGTGCGCCTCCCATTAAGAAAGGGTAGTTTGGTAATAAAGTCTCATTAGCTTTATGCAACCCCCTTCTGTTTTGAAATAATTGGCTGTAGGACCTCATTAGTCTTACACAGTTAAAGTAAATTCTTCTTCTTTTTTGGCAAATTGACTTAATGACAGACGCATGCGCCATGAACTTGAAAAGAGCACATGGTCAATTGTAACCTCAAAAAATTTTTATTAATTTTCGACTAAACTAGTTAGTTGCAAAAAGTGTATATAATTTTAAAATGTTTTAAAAATTTTCAATGCATCGTCTAAAATGTTCATGTCAATGTTTATCTAGTACAGTTTCAATCACATCATTAATTTTATCAACAACATTTTTTTCACGAACCAATCTCACTAAGTAGTAAGTAAACATTAATTGTTCATTATTCAATTTTAATTTTCCTGTAATAAATATTCTAGATCCCTGAAGATGAATGTATTCACATTCGAAAGCTTGGAATAAACTTATAAGAGTACACATTTCGTTTTGCTGCAAACCCAATAACTCAAGTTCATTTATATATATATATATATATATATACAGGGTGTCTCACGCTCAACGGGACGGTGCTTTATGGGAAAACGACCAAAGATATAAAAAATTCGTTTGGGAGGAATACGTAGGTTACAGACGGCTACAATTTAAAATTTGTTAGATGTATACAGGATGTCCCACATAAGAGAAAATATACAAAGTTATATTATTTTTAATGGAACACCCTGTTTTTTATTTTAGAATTAAAAACTACATCAAAAATAATGTCAGTTAACTAAAGGTTCCCTATTACTATTATTATTAGTTTTCGATTTATTTAAATTTTTAAGGAAAAAAAGTCTCCCAGAAATTAATTGTTTACTCTTGTTTGAATAATTTTTAATGAACTAATTTTTTTTTTCTTATGTGGGACATCCTGTATACATCTAACAAATTTTAAATTGTAGCCGTCTGTAACCTACGTATTCCTCCCAAACGAATTTTTTATATCTTTGGTCGTTTTCCCATAAAGCTCCGTCCCGTTGAGCGTGAGCCACCCTGTATATATATATTTAGAAATAAATACATTACGTTACTTATACTAGGAGCTTTAAAAAGACTTGAGTTTTTATCTCCTTGTGTTTTCTTTAATTTTATATCGAATTTATATCCCGTTTTTCAACCCGGAACAAAGCAAATCCTGCCGTTTTTTGTTACTCATTGTTACTTGTAGTCAGGTTCTTTATTTTTATTCTTTTCACTAAATTTTACAAAAATAACTTTAATTCCCATTGACTTGCATAGAAAATAGACGTTGTTTTTGCCACTCGCCAACTATAGTAGTTTTTTGGAACTCCATAAAAATAGGGACGGAAATTTGAAATTTGACCAAGGCCGATTCGCCTCCTTATCTCTAGTCTTCATATTCATGACTGGTCATGGTCGGTTTTCTCTTTCGCTAGACAGTTTCAACCGCTCACTTAACCCACAAGGCTGGTAAATAAGAAAAAAGCTGCCCAGGCGGAAGTTTTGATAACTTAGTTTGCTTTGCAATCTGCAAGCATAGACAGAGTAGTAAATTTAATTCTAGGCGGTCACTTGCAAAGTGAAAGAAACTTAACACCGCTAATATCTACCCCAGGAAGAGCTACATAAAGTGTGGTGTTTATTTAAGAAAATCACATAAAGTTTATACAAACAAAATATATTTATAATGGCAATCATGGTGGAATAATTATTAGTCTTTATTTACGCGATCAGTTGCACGAAAAAATAAATAAAAAATAAACATAAATCAATGAATACGATAATTATCACGGTTTATCACGGTATTCCAAATAAATGGTGAAAACCTCTAAATTGTTTAGCAGTTTAGCAATGAAAATGTTTACAAAATTACATTCAGGGGAAATAAATAGAAGCAAAACAATAAAAATAGATATACCCACAGTATTCCTAATAAGCGGTGAAAACATCAAAATTAGTCAGAAGTATAACTAATACAATGAAAATATTTAAATTACATTTTAGTAGAAACATTTAAAAAATAAGTCACTAATATGGATTTTTTGGCATGAACATATGTGTCATTCAGCCAATCACAATTCGTCTATAATAGAAGACCGTAACTAACTAACTAACTAACTAACTAACTAACTAACTAACTAACTAACTAACTAACTAACTAACTAACTAACTAACTAACTAACTAACTAACTAACTAACTAACTAACTAACTAACTAACTAACTAACTAACTAACTAACTAACTAACTAACTAACTAACTAACTAACTAACTAACTAACTAACTAACTAACTAACTAACTAACTAACTAACTAACTAACTAACTAACTAACTAACTAACTAACTAACTAACTAACTAACTAACTAACTAACTAACTAACTAACTAACTAACTAACTAACTAACTAACTAACTAACTAACTAACTAACTAACTAACTAACTAACTAACTAACTAACTAACTAACTAACTAACTAACTAACTAACTAACTAACTAACTAACTAACTAACTAACTAACTAACTAACTAACTAACTAACTAACTAACTAACTAACTAACTAACTAACTAACTAACTAACTAACTAACTAACTAACTAACTAACTAACTAACTAACTAACTAACTAACTAACTAACTAACTAACTAACTAACTAACTAACTAACTAACTAACTAACTAACTAACTAACTAACTAACTAACTAACTAACTAACTAACTAACTAACTAACTAACTAACTAACTAACTAACTAACTAACTAACTAAAGAAATAGAAATATAGAATAAATAAGAAATAAAGCAGGTGTATTGAAAAATTGTTCAATACATGTTTTTTTATTTTTAATCAAAATACTGTTAACAAAAAAGTTTAGCTGCTCACAAACTTGTTAATTAATCTTTTTGCCACACAAAAGTAGTTGTTGTTCTCAAACAATATTTGTTCAGGTCCATTTTATAAACAGTTAAATGGTAATAATTTGACAGGTTGTTAGATAGGCTAGTAAAATAGGGTGCGTGCTGTGGTTTGTGAATTAATTGTTTTATTTATTTTTAATAAAACAAAAAATACTAATTGAAAATTAGTCTGCATAAAAGTTGAAGGAACGGTTTTTTATCTACAAAGTAGCTGTATAATAGCTACCCAAGCTATTCGAAAGCTGAAGAAGCGTTTCTCTGGCCTATTTTAAACAGCTATAGGCTTGTTAAAAAAATGAGGCATATTAGAGAGAAGATTAAGAAATGCTACTATAAAGTTTTAAATATTTCCATTTTAAATAAAAACAAACTAAAATTTACATTTTCTAAATAACATCAATATATTCTATTTATATTTTAGAAAGAAATTTATCAAGAGATTATTTCGACTATTGGAGATACACAACTTCCATCATATAGTGATTTACTTGAGCTAAAATTTATGGAAAGGTGTATCAAAGAAAGCCTTAGGTTATATCCAAGTGTACCGCAAATAGTACGAGTGATTGGAGAAGAAATAAAAACACACTCTGGATACACTCTTCCCAAAGGATCTAATATAATTATCCCAATATACGATTTACATAGAAATCCTGTAGTCTGGGAAAATCCTGAAAAGTTCGATCCTGATCGATTTTTGCCTGATAATATAGCTAAAAGGCACCCATTTGCTTATATACCGTTCAGTGCTGGAAGCAGAAATTGTATTGGTACGTATACTATTACCAACTGTAGTTCTAGCCTAGCAGAGATAAATCTGGCACCGCGGCTATCGAGTCCATCTTACTCACACTGTAGTACACTTTTAAAGCGTAACGTGTTGTTTTGCCATCAATTTGTTTTTTCTACATACTGTTATGGTCTGGAATTCACATAAATTATTACACATTAATCACTTTATTTTATAAAGGTTGATATAATTAGATCTCGTTTTGTGTGATATATATATTAGATTTAGATATTTTTACTTTCATTCCTGCTGCTCCATTTCGTTTTTCAGTTTTCATTAGTAATTAACTCCTTGTTGCATATTAGATTCTGCTACAATAAAATATTGTTTGTAAGTAAAATAAATTATTTGTTATAATTAAAGTACTTACTACTTGAGGCTAGTATAATAATCCTGCATTTTCCCATCGTAAAATCTAAGTTTTCAGTGTTTAAATTATCTTTAAATTTCTTGTCATTTTCAATGTATATTTTGTAAACAAGTCTCACGTCAAAAGTTCGTTGAGCCTCGGCTCAAGGCATCGTCTTTCTATGTAAGGATTGCAACGCGAAGAGACGTTACTTACGGCGAACTGTTTCCTCGCTACCAAAACGATAGTGTGTTATTCACACGCAGTGTGCTTTGTTAAATAGACTGACAAGAAAAGAGAAAATTGTTGATGGGGACGTATCTCTAATAACCACATACTTTGATTTTCTTTTACTATACAGAGAATGGTCGCACTACGCAGCTTTCTGAGTGCCTTTTAAAAGGAGATAGAAAACTCCGCCATTTTGATCCCTGATTACGTGTTGCCTACATTTTGGCGCAATATTTTTAATAGGTGCGTTTTAATCATCCGCTTCTGCTTCGGAAATGTCGGTTTTCTTGTTTTAATCTGACAGGTTAAAACGACTAAACCGACAATTCCGGAAGCAGAAGCGGATGATTAAAACGCACCTGATATTTTGCTTGCTGCTGTCAGTGTCAGTGAATATTATTTTTGGTGTCACAGTTTATTGCTAAAGAATCAATTAGCTCACTCGGACCAGTTGAAAGTTCCAAAATAACATCCACTCCAGGGATACAAATTCAGGATACGCAGAAGACTGCTATTTTATTATAGGGGGTTGTCATATACTGTATTATCCGAGTTGCGCAGTGTATAAACTGGAACATTGAGATCAAAAGTGGCAACGCAGAGTGAGCGATCTGATTCTTTAGCTATAAACTGTGGCATAGGAATCAAAATGGCCGCGCCCTATATTGGGCGTGTCGGACCTCTCTCTTGCACCGTATAGTAATTAAAATATGTGCTAACAACACATACTTTGATTTTCTTTTACTATACGGAGAATGGTCGCACTGCGCAGCTTTCTAAGTGCCTATTAAAAGGAGATAGAAAACTCCTCCATTTTGAACCCTTATTACGTGTTACCTACATCTTGGCGCAATATTTTTAATAGGTGCGTTTTAATCATCCGCTTCTGCTTCGGAATTGTCGGTTTTCTTGTTTTAATATGACAGGTTAGAACGACTGAACCGACAATTCCGGAAGCAGAAACGGATTATTAAAACGCACCTGATATTTTGCTTGCTGCTGTCAGTGTCAGTGAATATTATTTTTGGTGTCACAGTTTATTGCTAAAGAATCAATTAGCTCACTCGAACCAGTTGAAAGTTCCAAAATAACATCCACTCCAGGGATACAAATTCAGGATACGCAGAAGACTGCTGTTTTATTATAGGCGGTTGTCATATATTGTATTATCCGAGTTTCGTAGTGTATAAACTGGAACATTGAGATCAAAAGTGCCGATGCAGAGTGAGCGATCTGATTCTTTAGCTATAAACTGTGGCATAGGAATCAAAATGGCCGCGCCCTATGTTGGGCGTGTCGGACCTCTCTCTTGCACCATATAGTAATTAAAGTATGTGCTAACAACAGTGATCGGTTTATGTTAAATCAGTATCGTCAACCTTTTAGTACGAAAATTCCTAGTCTAATAGATTTTTTAAATATAATTTAGATATTCCAAAATTTTGAATTATAAAAATTGATTGGCAATAGTTTTCAAGCCATCTTAATTTAGTAAAATTAGAGGAACGTGTTTTTTTTTAAGACAATTTCAGAGTGAATAGCTGTGTGTTTGTGCGAGTTCGATTTTGATTTGATTTGTTTTACCGTTGTAAACTGGATTTGATTTGCACAACTATTTTGGAATTTCGACTGATAGCTTGTCTTATATTTGGCAGTCGTTATTTTTGCCGCAAGGCATTTAATTATACCGCTATTTTTGGTTCAATCACCACCGAACAAATTTCTTTAAGAAACCACGCATCCTCAATTTTGTAAAACCCTCATCGAACTGAGGTAAGATATTGATAATCTTTTGTAACTATGTTTGATTGTTATATCGGCTTTTCTTATTTCTTCTAGAGTTTTTTTTCCATTTTTTTTGGTTCTAATTTTGGGTTTTCTGGTTTTCGTTTCCTGTTTTATTCGACGCAGTTTCAATTTTGGTGTTCCCGTCTATACCGGCTGTGATCGTGAAATATTCATCGATTGAGTGATAGATTGGAGCTACACCCTGAACATTGGACTGATCTGGCTGGAACCCAGATCCATAGCTAAGTACCGAATAAGGATATGATTTTCAATTTATTTTATATTACTTTTAATTTTATTATTAATTAGTAGCACTATCAATATTAAAGTTATTAATATTCTCTCTATTAGTTTTATTATTAAATATTAGTGCTAACAATATTATCGGTATAATTTTATTATTAATTTTCTTTGTGCCCTATTATAATCATTATTAATAATATTACGATTGGTATATTATCGATATTATTTTGTTACTATTACCATTTTGAGTTATTAGATATATATTTTTTTCTTTTTCCAGAGTGGAACCCAAACTTTTGGGCCTATAGTAGTTACATAGTGGGACTTCAGTCCTATGGTATGTAAAGCGCGTATGATCATACCAGCTAGTGTATCGCTCTACTAGCTGTTTTATTTTTTTTCCATATTAGCTTTACATATATCCTATTTTAAAATTATAATACAGGAGCTTCTTGTTAATAAACGTTTATGTACAGTCTGTTCGCTATACTTACGCAGGTTTCGGATTAAAAATTTTATGAGTATTTCCAGAAAAGTACCTGAAAGTTTGACCTGTTCTTTGGGGAAATATCAACTGGTTAAATGAAATGAAAAATAATGTACAACTTTTTAATTAAATAATAATGGAGAATCTTTTGTATAATTGAAAGCAGAATTAAACTTCTTCATTAATGGAGTCTAATGTGGCTATTATAAACCAAATAATAATTTTATATTAGACTTCACATAGAAAATATGGTCTATGTATAATAAGAGGGTTATTTGGCTCAAATAAAATATTTTCTAACATAAAAATTTGTTCCATGTAGAGAATTTCAAATAAAAAATAAAAAAATTGAACTTGCCAACAAAAATGAAAATCAGTCATTATCATCCAAAATATCATAATCGTCATCATCATCATCACTGTCATCAGCATTAATTGTTATTTTGATTGGACTTATTTCGTTTATTTTATTTTCACGAGTTCACCAATCTTCTATTAGTTTCTCGCACTTGGATATACAGTTCCGCCACACTTCTGGAGTTGCAATTAAAAGTGCTTTTAGTCAAGTTTGCCGAACTGCGTCGTCACTATAACCATTTTTTTTTCTCTCCTGGGCTCATCTGACTATGTGTCTCCGAATAACACTGAAGCCTATTGGCTTATTGTGTTTTACCCCATGTTAGTTCATAGCACCCACTCTATCACCTTTGTACCTTGTACAAGTTTGTACAGATCCTTGGGTGAGTGGATTCTATACGTTGTTGGATCAACCTGGGGTTGTCCAAAAAGAGCCTGTATTTTGCGATCTAGAGCTTCGCATTCGCACAGTATGTATTTGGCCGTTTCTGGTTTCTTGTGACATAGTCGGCACATGAGTTCCCCATTGTACATGCCAATTTTTTTCAAGTGTCCCTTTACTGGGGCATGCCCAGTCATGAACCCTGTTATCATTTTCAGCTGGTTCCTATTCATTAAGAGTAGTTCTCCAGTTCTTTTGGGACATGGTCTGCCTAAGAAGGCTTTTCCATGTGCCTGTTTTGGGGTGCTTCCCCAATAGTTGATATGTTGTTCCCGAATCCAGTCATTTATAAAACCCCGTACTGTACTTTTTGGTACTCCTGGGTTTGTGTCTGGTTCCGGTGTTTCTTCTGACCCTCTTATTGCCAGTTCGTTAGCATTTTCGTTGCCTTCGGTCTCTTTGTGACCTGACACCCAAAATAGTTTTACTCTATTTCGATCTGCCAGTGTTCTTAGTTCTTCGATGCATTCCCATACCAGCCTCGACGTAACTTTCTGACTTTATTTGAATATGCTGATTTTCGACAGCTCTTTCATTGTTAGTTTTTGCACATTGCAAAATTGCGTATACCTCGGCCTGAAATACCGAGGAATGTATTCCTATAGCATAGCTATGGTTAGTATCAGGGTTTTTGGAGAATACTCCTGCCTCAGTGCCTTCCGCAGTCTTAGACCCGTCTGTATACCAGGTTTGTTCCTGTCGTTGGGCATTGGGCTCCCTTATGGTGATCTCCGCTCTTTCCTGTATTAAAACCTCAAAGGGAGTATTAAAGGAGTACCTCTGGGTTAAGTGGTCTGATCTCATGTCTAGCACGTCTCCTGTCACTAACCTTGAGATACTCATGTGACCTGGCCTAATGTCAAGATTTCCCAGTGTATTCCCTAATCTGTAAGCACCTAATCTTGCCTCCCCTTGTATCACATAGTGAAGAGGTGGGAGTCCTATTAGTGCTTCCATTGCAGCAGTGGGGGTTGTTTTCATTGCCCCCGTTATTCCGAGGCAGGCAAGTCTTTGTACCTTGCTAAGCCTCGTTATTGCTTTCCTTTGATGTGTCTTTGGCCACCACACCAAAGCTGCGTATGG